TTTAAGCAAAAATTTTTTAGACGAAAAAAATCAATGAAAATTTCCATTTTACACAAAAATAAAATTTAAATAAAATTTTTTTTTCAAAAATTTGAAAAAAAAATTATAGAACGCTGAATAAATTCGATGATTTTTCTCCACTATTTGCTTTATTCATTTGACAAAAAAATTGTTATGAAGTTATTGGGAACTTTGAAATTTACCTAAATTTTCCTTTTTTTCTCTTGAAATCGACATGTCAGTTCAGCGAGTTTAAAAGTTCCTTCATAAATTAATGCGTTATTTCACATACCATTTGAATATCTCTCGTAATCCACAGGATTAAAACAATTTGAATTCTTAGGAGACTTGCAAGAAATTTCTCGAAATAATTCTAACCTCGTAATTTGCCATATAAAATAATTGTATGGAAAAGTTCACGATGAATATGAAAATTGTATGCATATGAAGAAAGCATTTGATAGGTCTCATAAAAACCTTACTAATAGGGCGTGGAATTAGTTTTGAGTTAAAAGTCTGCTTACAAGTATATTTCATTTCATTTGAAAAATTTGCAAATCTATTTATGTCGACTAAAAACCGATCGAAGAAAGATATATGAGATCTTATTGGAAATCCTGAAAGAATTTCTCAAATTTACGTATAAAATTGAAAAATAAATCCGCATTTTTTGCAGCATCGTTTTCTCCTCGAGCGATTAAAATAAATTGGTAAATTCACTAAAAATGGTAATTTTCCAGTTTATTAATCGCTATTTCATAGAAAATTTTCAAAAAATTTAGTAGTAGTGTAAACATTTTGGATTTGTGATTTATTGAATGATATTTGACAATAATATTTGACTGGAAAGATTTTGAACATATGGTGGGACCAGCGATATATGGACTTAGACGATGGAAAAAGGAATGGCTTCCATTACTACTAGCGATGTGGTCCAACCGAGCAGCTTGGAGACGTCTTACTCTTGCAGCTAGCGGAGCCAGCCTAACTAATTTTAATGAGAGTTGTTAGAGAAGAAAACAAAGAAGAATTTGATTAGAATAATTAAATTATTGATTGGCTTGATTTTAATTTTTAAAATAAATTAGATTTCGCTTAAATAATAATTATCGTCTTCAGTTTTTATTTGAAATTTATTTTTTTGTTATTTTGAGAAAAGAAAAACCATTTTTTATCTGTCACGAAATGATTAGCTGTAAAGCGGAAATTTCCCAGAAAGCTGGTTAAACCTCAATTTTCAAATAAATACCAAAAAAAGCTTTTGTTGGCAATCCGAAAGTAAATTATAGTTCACATAAAAAAGGTGAATTAAACTGATCATCATTGTTATGGCAAACGTATTGTTCGCTTCACTCATCCTTTCCTTCTTCTTTTTATCGAGTTTAGCTCTTGTGGTGACGAAGGAAATATTAGAATGTATGCAACAAGCGGGACTCCTCGTCCCATAATTCCGCCAGAATATTGCCAAGATGTAAATCCCAATGAATGCAATGCATTATTTCCGCTGGGCGAACAATAAGTTCAAGACAATCTTAATGCTCAAGTTTAAATATAAATACAAGAGGAGTGAATGTAGACGAATGAATTCAAGGAATTTCCAAAATCCATGGGGGTAAAGAATTTGAATTCTCAAGAAATTTCTCGGATTTATAATTTCGTAATTTGCCTCAGAAGATAGTCGTATAAAAAGTCGGCGTTAACAATGGAAATAGAATCTGAAGAGAGTATTTGATAAATCTCACAAAAATTTGCTAATAGGAGATGGGAATTAATTTTTCTTTAACTTGAAAGTCTGCTTGCAATTATATATTTTATTTCATTTAAAAAAATTTTCAAATCTATTTATTCCAACTGAAAATGTAGTCGCAAAAAAACATGGGAGATCTTATCGGAAATCTTGAAACAATTTCTCAAATTCGAATTGAATAAAATATTAGTATTTAATACAAATATTAATATTATTATTTGTAAGTAATCCTTAAAATATAATATTCAATAAATACAATAATATTTGTAAATAATTCTTAAAATATAATTTTAATAAATACAATAATATTTGTAAATAATTTTTAAAATATAATATTCAATAAAAATAATAATATTTGTAAATAATTCTTAAAATATAATATTCAATAAAAATAATAATATTTATAAATAATTCTTAAAATATAATAAATAACAATAATCAATAAATAACAATAATATTTGCAAATAATTTCTTTAGCAAAAGAAAAGTATAGAAAAATCAAAAATAAGTAATATTTACTTCGGCGAAGAGAAAGTCAACGTTTATACCATATAGTTGATTAATAATTAATGCGTTCCTGTTTTCAATAGTTCGAGCCTTATCATTTAGAAATATTAGGGTACTAGTATTAGATGATATTATGGTACTAGAGCACTAGTGATGGAATTCTGTACAGCAAATCAACCATTATTCACTGTATATTAAATTAATTAAAAACTATCATTATTATCAAAATTATCATTATCAAATTATCAAAAAGTTATTCTTTATGTTAATAAGCAAATTTTTAGATACTTTGTTTTAAATGAACTGAAATGACATGATAATAATGATAATATATTGCCAAAATACTGAAATAGAATACAAATGTTTTATTGCAAGAACGATACTATTATTAGAAAATGAAGAACGATAAAGAATATAAAGGGTTTATTTTTTTGGCCTCCATAAATAAATTCGAAAAGTCATAATGCGATGATATTCTAAAAGGTCTTTTTAATCAGCATAACAAAAAAAAAATCCATAAGCACTTGATCACATCATAAGTGATAAAAATGATATATTCTTTCTAGTTATTTTAAGAAATAACTTGGTTAATAAATTTCAATAGGTAAATAAAGTTCTATGAAAGTTTACAAATTAAAATTCTCGTTTTCCCCGTTTTTTTTGGCCGTTTCTTTTTAATCAATTCATTTATTTTTTAAACGATATTATTATTGATATATATCGATGAAATTATTAGTGATAAAATTTTCTTCAAATTAAAACCTTATTGAATGAATTTTATTGTAAATAGGAGTCGAATATTATTGATAATTTAAAGCAAGTTTTTGATTTTATCAGCTATTGAATGATAACTAAAATTATCATATATTGAAATCGCTCGCAAATCATAAAAAATTAAAAAATTATAATTTCGCTAGAAAAAAACTTCATTTTTTAAATGGAAGATGTTTGATTCAATTAGTTTATAATCTATCAGTAAGTTCTAAAGGTATTCAAGAATTTTTTGTTATCATTCCAAAAGAAGTGTTTGTATTTGTTTGTGTTTGTGAAAGAAATGTATCTGAATTGTGTTTGCATGGTTATTGCACTAAGCACAGCCGGTACGAGGATCTCCTTCCAACATTTCATATATGCACGTTTGATACCAATGAAACCCTCATGCGTTTATCACATATGAAGTGTGCCGTTTTTCTAATACGAACCTTGCAGCCAGTATGGTTTCCTTCCAAACAATCGACAGTGGTTTGATTCCTCTCGAAGTGATACGAAATGAAGTGGAAGATATCATTATTATCATATTATTTTTTGCGGCAAGATAGAATCTTATAAAGATGAAAATGATTAAAATTATCTTCGAGTTGACTGCGATTACCGCATTTAAAAATTCTGAAATTGGAATTTTGCAAGTAAAAACAAAAATGCTGGTTGAAATTCTTCTACGAACTTCGAAATTTTGAAACTAATTTTTTTTTCCTTCAAATTTCTATGTCCATTCGAAAATTTTCACCTTATATGCATCACATCTTCAAAGTCCTTTAACAATGGGAAAATGAATTTTCAAAAAATCGATGTTTCAATTTTTCGTAAGATTGATTAAGAAATTTAATCAATTTAAAATTTTGCAAAAAAAAAATTAAAGATCCCTGGATAATTCAAATCGATGATTTTTACATTGTTTAGTTGACAAAAAAATTTTTTATAAAGAATTTTAAATTTTATAAAAAAATTAAATTTTTTATTTTTAAATGAAAATTTTAAAATTTATTTAAATTTTTTTTTTAAATTCTCTCGAAATCGACACGTCAATTTAGCGATTTAGAAATTTTCTTCATAAGTCAATGCGTTATTTTGCGTACCAATTGAGTATTTTCAAAATCCGAAGGGTTAAAACAATTTGAATTCTCAAGACACTTGCAAGAAATTTTGCGAATTTCCTGCTGATAGTTTGTCTTAGAAAATAGTTGCATGGAAATGACCACCATAAGTATGAAAATTATATGCATTTAAAGAAGAGAGTTTTTGATAGATCCTATAAAAACTTTGAAATAGGACATGGGAATTAAAATTAAACCTGCATTTTTTGCAATTTTATTCATTCTTCCAACGCCAATTAGAATGAATTGGCAAATCCAATAAAAATGATAACTTTCCCGTTTGCCAATCACTATTTTAAAGAGAATTTTGGGACAATTTTGAATAATAACAGAAACATTTTGGTTTTTGTGATTTATTAAATTATAATTCACTAGAATTTTTTATTTTTAAATGGGAAATTTCCCAATTTATATAAAAATTTATATAAAAATTTCTACTCTCCTCCTTAGTGCGACCAAAGAGTTTCAAACTATTCTGATAATATTTCTGCACTTTTCTTCTTCTCAACTGAGTATTATCCAGTGGACAGTTCGCAAATATTGAAATCATCGCGATAAATCAAGCTATAATGTAGGCCCAAATTTGAATATATTGTCATCACTAAATTATATCATGTAATGTCAGCAATAAATTATATTTCGCTTAAATAACAAATAATTATTATCTTTCAGTTTTGTGCTTAAAAATTATTATTTGAGAAAGGAAAAATAAATTTTTATTTGCCCCCAAAATGGATGTTGTAAAGCGGAAATTTACCAAAAAGCTGGTTAAACCTCAACTTTAAAATGATTTTCAAAAAAAAACCTTTAACTCCGATAGCAAATTACAGTCGATATAAAAAGAGTGAATTAAATGATTATTTATCATTGTCATGGCAAATATTCTCTTAGCTTTGCTCCTCCTTCTCTTTATCGACATTAGCACTAGTGACGGAGAAGATATTAAAGAATGCGCGACAGGTCAACCGCCTCGTCCCACAATTCCACCAGAATATTGCCAGGACGTAAATACCAATGAGTGCGCTGCATTGTTTTCGCTGGGCGGACAACAAATTCAAGACAATCTCAATGTGCAAGTTTTGTTGCTAATTTCTTCCTTTTTTTTAACTCTTGCATGAGCCTAAATATAAGAGAAGTGAATGTCGACGAATGAATACATTTCAGGGGAAATCCTTATAAAGTAAATAAAGAATGTGTGGACAATGCATCCCTTGCAACGATTAGTGTGGAGCGATGTCCAAAAACATGCGCGAAATGTTGCTTAACGAAACAATTCAAATGCGAAAATGGTTATTTAATGAAATTTTCGTTCAGAAAAAACAAAAAAAATGAAAAATTAATTTCAGAAATAAGCATATTTTAATAAATATTAGTATATTTTGTATAAAATTATAAATAATTATTATGAAATTGCAAAGAAATCTATGTTTTAACGAAATTAAGAAATAATAAAATTAATGTAAAAAGAAAATGTAAATTTAAGAAAATAAATAGCGAATTGTTCATCGTTTGTGAAATTCTTAAAGCATATGGGCAATAATTATGGAAATACAATATATTTCCATTAAATCCAATTTCTTATCGTCAAATAACTTTGTCATATCATTTGTAGATCAACTGAAATAGGATGAATGATATAAGTTCAACGTAATGTTTCGTAGCTCATAACATCTGCCAAGAATTTATGAAAAAATTGCACAAAAAATACATATTTCAGATTTTGGTGCGGCAGGAGCTTGCGATCGGTTGAACTTCGCTATTGAATGCAGAAATCCACTTTTATACCCAATAGTGCTTGCAAGATGTCCGAAAACGTGCGGTCTATGTGACAGACCAGGCGCTCTCGGCAGGTGCCCAGATAGTCATCCCATTTGCCCTCAATTGAGATTATTTGGAAATGCATGTCAGGACAGTAGAATTGCACAAATGTGCATGGAAAGCTGTAATATAACAACTTGTTTGACAGGTGACAAAATAAATCGTTCAGTACTTGTAAAATTTTTTTGCCATTCCATTAATTAATAAAAAAAAAACGATTGCAGGTACAACTACTGCAAGTGCATCGCTATGCCAGGACAGAAGAACTAACTGCCTTAGCTATGCACCTTATTGCAATCACCCAAGATATTCAAGTGTGCTGAGGGATGTGTGTCCTCGTACTTGTAGGGTCTGTTGATAGACATTGTGGTAAAGCATGAGATACCATCCGTATAACTGGTCATTTTTTCCTATTTCAAATAACCTTATATCATTATGTCCCCTCGGGGCAATTTAACATTGTTCTTAATTTTTTATATTTTCGTAAATAACTAAATAATTTTCTGTATTTTTGGGTTAATAAATGGTTTGCACCTTTTTTCGAAATATTCAAAAATATTAACAATCATCAATTAACATAAGAAAATAACATAACATGCACTTTGGGAAAGTGTGTAATAAGCGAATAAACCAAGTAAATCCCAGTTTTACTTTATACTTTCACTCATACTTTTCTTCGTATTATTTTTTAAATTCTTTATTATTTTATTAAATTCTTTATTTAATATAAAAAGGAAATTACTATTAATTTTCAACTTAAACGATCACTTTACACTTCGAAAATGATTATCTATAATTGTTATTTTTTTATTAAAAAATAAATATTCATAGATTTTTCAGTTTAATTAACAAAATATCGATATCAATTCAAATTATTCCTTAAAATAATTGAAATTAATCTTCATTAATTCGATGAATTAATTTATCATTATAAACTTTTAATTTTTCCTAAGCAATTTGTATTTAAATTTTTGAGCCAAAATTATATGTTTTGGATTAATGGAAGAATTGTTAAGCAAGCAATCTCAATTTTCTTTCTGGAAGGCGCTAAGAGTATCCATATTGCTGGTTGGCCTCGTTCAAGCAGACTTGTTAGATTAGACAAATATACTAAAGAATCTCTTAGTGATAGAAGTACAGATTAGATGTAAGCATCATCGAGGTTTTTGGACACGTTTACTTCTTTCGAGAAGGAACTTCAATATGAGCGCTCCGAGTGGAGCAACGGTCTAAAAAAATTCGGTTAATTTTTCTCTATCAATTTCAAATTTTAGAAAAATTTAAACTGTTAGCATACTTTAGTATTGCAG